ATGCGAAATTGCAAAACAAATCTGAATATAGCCGGAGCGAAATTACCGACCATAGAAACGAATTTAAGAGTTTGATTAGTAGATTCGGTGTTAATCTTAAAATTTTTTAAAGTTTGTGTTTGTGATATCAAGAAATGAAGGGAATTCTTTTCATTATCCATTTTCTTTGTTTCTAGACTTAATTGATTGTAGCACAAATGTAGTACAACTAGAATTAAAAAAATTTTATAGATATCACGACTTGAAAAAAAAAAAATATATAATTTTGTGTCAGTTTGAAAAGCGAAGCCGAATTCAAAAATTCTCGTAAAAATCAAATTAGTGATGTGTACCGCCCCGTTTAATACTCTTAAAATCAATAATTATCCATTTGATATCATATTTTATTATATTATATATCAATATTTTTTAAATCAACATCTGAATAAGATAGTTGATTCATCATATGCAGAACTTTATTTTATACCACGAAATATACTTTAATATATCCGATGCACTGCAAACACATGTATTCTAGGATTCCGATATCATGAGAAAGTTGTATTGTTGCCATTTAACTTTAACAAAAAAATTTAAGGGTTACAAAAAAATCAATCAATCATTTTAAAAAGTAAAATTGCGACTTGTAGCTGATGCAAAAGAATATTTTTTATATTGACAACCTTCCAATTGGTTCCTTTTAATCGACAAGTTGGAATTAAATTAAAATAAACATAAATAATAATCAATTTATATACGATGAGAAATTTTTCGTTTTAAATTTACCTTTTTTTTTAAAGAAAAAAAAAAAATTTTAAGCCAAATATCTTAATTACAAAACAATATCAATATATTTTCCATTCTTCATATTTAATATGGTTCAAACACGTAAGGACAAATACGATAATATTAACTACCAAAGTGGTAACGACGTAAGTCAAAACGTTTTAACTAAATGAAACTATTATTTTTATTATAATTTAAATTAAAAAGGTTATTACATTTGTTTTATAGGAGGTTTCAATTGCGTGATGCAATGAGAAATGAAAGAAACACGTACCGAAGGATTGCCTAAATTTTTTCACAATATAGTGCTCATCAAATTCGGTACCGGTTTCGTAATAAAATTAATCCTTTAAGTAAGATATATTCTAATTTTTTTTTTTTTATATGTATTAAAATTAACTTAACCGAGTTAAAGATTCTTTTTTCTTTTTTTCCATTTAATAGTAAACCATGCGAAACTTAACAGAAGCCAAAAAAAATTTATAGATAATTGGATTTCCAAAAACCAGTCGAAAAATGGAAGAATTTCATGGAAAAATTTAAATAGAGATTTGTGCAAAGAATTTTTTACTTTAAAGACTGACAATATAATAATATCTTATTGGTACTCGAAAAAAGGTAAAAGAAAATCATCTCGCTAAAGCACACCGGAGAGCTCGAGTACTATCGTATCAAGCCCTATTTCGACTTGTTCTACGATAATGAGCGATAGGGATTATGATGACGATGGTGATCCTGGTGGTATTGGTGGTATTGATGGTATGTCATCCAGCGCTCCGATTGTATTTTAATATAATATATATTTCTTATTTCTTATGATTTTTGATTGTAACACATTATTGTATTTCATTTATAAATAAATTAAACGCTGTATATTACATTATATAATTGTTTCTATTATTTAAATCGCTACGCATCAATAATTCAAAACTAAAGGAGATACTTAACAGTATTACGGATGTATAAAATATCAAATTCGCCAAATATATTGTATGTTTGGTTTTAAGGAATCCCTTAACGAAAGTATCACAGCTTACATATTATTCTTCTATATTTTGAACTTTTTTACCGCTCCTATGATAGAAGAACCCTCTTGGAAATCCCAGAATTTCTTAAAATTTAAAATTTTAGGATTTAGAACAGGCCAGTCCCATAAAATTTCCAATTTTATCTTAACATCCTACTTATATGGATAAGATTTGCAACATCACTCCGTTTTAAGTATTTTGGGAATTAATATCATGTGATTTACTTTATACTTTAATAAATAGAAACTTAATCTATTAGAGGATTCAGATGAAAATTTAAATATTTTTACATCAAATTACTGATATATGCATAGTTGTTTTTAATTTTATAACATGATTTTAGCATTGTTACCAAACTATACCAATAAAATGAGCATATTTAAAGTTGATCAGCAGGTAGATATCAATTTTTATTAAAATAATTATTAAAGATTACTTTCTAGATTACAATTCAATATTAAGATATTTTTTATCTACCTTTTATTTTAAATTTATCTATTTACTATTATTAACCTATTTCAGAAATATTATCACTATTTTTATTATATATTTTATTATAAATTAATTGTATAATATCCTCTTTATTTAAAATTTTTTTGTTATAATTTCTTTTAAATTATAAAAATAATTCTTAGTTATATTTACTAATAAATTATATAATGATCAAATTTTATATTAATTCTCTAATGATTTGATCAATATTTGTAACTTCTTTATTAATTATTATTTATTAATTTTATATTATATTATCATCTATATTATCTTCATTTATTTAAGAAAATAATATTTGTATTTTTATCTAGCAATTTATAAATGATTTCTTAATGCATCTACTAAATAATCATTTACTTTTTAATATTAAGCTTCTTTTGATTAATATCTTTACTTTTTTCAAAATTTTTAATATATAATAAAAATAATTACACTTATAATAAATTTAAAAACTTACAATAATTTTAGCATTTAAGTGATTACAGTTAACTTTTGATATAACAAACTCTTGATATAATGAATTTTTTAAACAAATATAATAAAAATACTCTTGTTATAACGAATTGGTTAATAAAATCTCTTAAAATCTTCACTATAGTCTTACAGTAGCGGTTATAAATATCTGACTACCTGAAATCATCCAAAATTATTATATAACTACCCTTAACTTTTCTAGAAATATAATGTAACACAATACATAATAACCTGTAAATTTATAAGTGTCAATAATACAAAAAAAAATTTAGATGATCATCAAACTTTTGCTTGAAAAATAGAATTTTTTTTAGAGAAATGATATGAAATTGTCTTTTTACATGAGCATCCAGCTAGTTTAAAGTTTAGTTTTAGATTTATTACTAAATAGGTATATTGTAGTAAGTCTACAGCTATTTATTAGGTTAAAAGATATCATGAAAATTAGGACCTAAGTATTTCAGAAAGATCAGGGTAGCCTTGTATAATATTCACAAAACAAGATGACAAGATTGTAAAGATGGCGTAGAAAGAACATAATATAACAACCATTCAAATATAAGAAAAAATAGAAGAAAGAAGTGTTGGACTTAATGTAGAAATAGTAAAGTGATATCTTCATAAATCTGAAGAAAAATTTAGTAATAAAATTTCTAAACCTTTACTTAAAGAAGACTATTGAAAGAAAAGGTTGCAATAAGCAAAAAAATATAAGAATTTTGATTAGAATCGAGTTATTTTTATAGATGAGAATATATTTTAATTATATATATCAAAAAAAAGGGTTGGTAGTTTCTTGGTAGAAAAAAAGTATTTTGTTCTGTTAAGTATTCACCAAAAGTTCATGTTTAGGAATATTTTTCTGCTTCTGGATTTGGTAAGCTATTTGCTTTCAGAGGAATCTTAATGTTAAATTTATATGTACTATTTATGAACAGAGTCTTCTGACTTCTACTTTTAAACTTTTTGGTAAAAGTAACATAGATTGGATCTTGCAAAAAGATAATGATCCAAAGCATCAATAAAAATCGTGAAAAAATTAAAGAAAGAAAATGACATTGAGGTACTTTCTTGGCTATCAATCTTTTTAGACTAAAACCCTATAGAAAACATTTAAAAGTTAATGAAAATTAATATATAAAATAAATTTAATCAATTAGAAGATTAAAGGGGAAACTTACAAAAGAATGGAATTGATTATCACTTGTACTTATCATGAATTTGGTAGCTAGTATGAAAAGGTATACAGCTGCATTTATAAAGTCAGATGGTAACTATATAATATATTAATTTTAATTAGTTAATTATGTATTTTTTAAATAAAAAAAAAATTTTGAATTTACTTACTTGTAATCAGAGTTAGAGGTAATCAGATACTTATGACCACTACTATATAACAAAGTTGAAGTCTAAGTCATAAAAGTTTATTATAATAAGAGTTACTATATTATTACTGTAGAATTATTCAACTCAGATTGATCACGTTATCAAGTCTTTATTTAAAATTACTAACTGCAGTTTATTACGGTTAAAATGTTAAAATTTGCCTAACTCTTAATTTTATCAATTCTACGTATTAAACTTAAATAAATATTATTAAGTATGAAGACTTGAAAGATGAGATTACAAATATTTAATTAAAGAATTCAGATAATAAACTCAATTACAAATAATATATAAGGATTACGTTAGATTATATAAAGACATGAAGAGGCAAAAAGATATAAGTTTTAAATGATTTCTTCATTAATATTAAAACTCATATTTGTAAGAGAGTTAATTTACAACATAAGCAAAAAATTTATCTATTTATACAAAATTTCTTTTATTACGACTAACTATTTACTATGCTATAAACATAATATTTTAGTAAATAAAATATAAGAAAAATAAAAATACGTAAAATAATAAAAATATGAAATATAATAAAAATAATAATAATAAATTAGAATATTAAAAATAAGTATAACATTAAATATTCTTAAACTTCATTTAATTCGTAAAATTAGGATTATTTTCAGTATTTAAAAGATCTGCAGAATTACGTAAATCTTCTGTATTTTCAAAATTTACAGAATTCACAATATTTTCAGAATTCTGAATTAAGAGATTATCATACTGCGTCATTCACATGACTTCATTATGATTGATCAATTGCTTCATTGATAGTATAAACAATTTGAAGTATTAGATAATAAAAAAGTTATATTAATATGAATTAATTAAAGTTAATATATATTTGAAATATACTTTTATTTTAATCTATTATGATTTTGATCTATTACAATTATTTCATTTATTATAATCTCTTAAAATTTGATTTTCCTATAAATAAAAAAAAAATAAATTTTTAAAAGCTTAATAACAACTACTATATATTATCTTAAATTTTTTTTATATTTAATATTAAAGTATATTTCAAATCAACCATTTTATTATTATTTTTATTTTATTATTTTTGGTAAACTAAAATTAAAATTAAAATATAATGGTACATTATTAATTAAAAATAAGATCTTTTTTTTATATTGAATTTATCTAAATTATAAAATACTTCTTTAAAAATTTTAGAATTTATTTATACTTTAAAATTTCTATAATAATAAATTAAATAAAAAAAATATATTAAATAAAATTTTATTAAAAAAAAAAAAAATGTTAATTAGTTAATCTTATTATTAAAAATTAATAATATTATTAAAACTAAATTTTTATTATCTTAACTAGTTTAATTAATTTTAGATTTAAAAAAATATATTTATGAAAACTATTAATTAAAAATAAAAAATTATTTAATTAAAGTAAATTTATTTAATAAAAAAA